GCGATCGGCCAGGAGGGGAAAGGAAGGGTCCTTTCCCCTCCTGCCGAACGCCCTCCGAGTTTTTCCCCCAGCTGACTGGCGGGAGATTCGGAAGAAGCCCCTCCTGTCAGCTGGGGGAAATGGATCCTATGGGGAAAAATCGCAAAGCGATTTTTCCCCATAGGAAACAACGTTATGCGATCGCAAAAGCGATCGCAAAATCTTCTTCGTTAAGTGAATTCCTCGTTAAACGGGGCACCCGTTAAGCGAGGCACCACTGTACTTAGAATTCTCTGATGTGTTCATGGGAGTACACTAAAACAAATAATTCTATCTCTTACCAAATTACAGATGCTAGGATTCTGTATGAAGGAGACACTGAAAAAGCAGTATCATACTACTATAGCAGTGCAGTTAGAATGAGCTGGAATTTTTAGCATCTATACAATAGTGACATCTATGTTGGCTTGGGCATGTCGTGAGAATGGCTGATGGTCAGATTCCAAAAGATCTCCTGTATGGAGAATTAGGGGAAAGTGCCCCAGAGGGAGACCATAGCTGCAATACAAGGATATCTGCAAGCGGGATCTGAAGGCCTTAGGAATGGACCTCAACAGATGGGAAACCCTGACATCGGAGCATTCAGCCTGGAGGCAGGCGGTACATCACGGCCTCTCCCAATATGAAGAGCGCCTTGTCCAGCAGGCCAAGGCAAGGAGGCAGTTCCGGAAGCAGCAAAATCAGGGAGTTGGACAGGGGACAGATTGTATTTGTCCTCATTGTGGAAGGGATTGTCACTCTTGAGTTGGCCTTTTCAGCCACACTAGTTGGTGTTCCAAGCCCTCTATTCAGAGCATGTTACCATAGTCTCTCGAGACTGAAGGATGCCTAATCTAAACAGTGCAGTATAGATAAACACCATGGTTCCTTGACACCTTGATAATAATCGTGTGACAACCCTGAATGGCCAGTTTTAATTGTTCACCACTCTTCTTTTGTAATACTTATCCAGATGGGTTGGACATTGGACTCACCCCTACTTGGAGCTCACAAGGACTACATGACTGCCAGGTTTCCTCTCTCTTTCAAAAGTGGGCAGCGGTTGTGGTTCCTAGGTCGCAGGATACTGGTTGAAATATTACGGAATTGCTGTGCATCCCTGAATCTCTAGGCAAGGAGACAAATCTTAGGGCATATGGTCACTGTATTTTGTGGCTTGGATTCCAGTGGGCTCCCATCTCTTTTCCACTCCAAACTGGTGCCAGGGCACACAGGCTTAGCACAGAGGTGTTCATACCTATGTGTGATGTGCACACATAATATTTGTTCATGAAATAGTGTAGGAAGTTCATCTTGCCTTCCAACTCTTTCAGTCTCTTACACAATATTTAATTTTACTTAAGGGCCCAAACCAAGTGATCCAGGGTTTTGGCCCTGATATTTCAGGGAACAGGGAATCTAGTGACTTGAAAACTCTAGCAGTCGTAACATGTTTCTATGATGTCGGAACGTGCCAGAATATCCATCTCTGTCACAGAGCCCAGCAAAATAGACTGCCTCTTTTCCCTCCAGAAGATAAGACACTGCCACCAATTTTAGGAATGGGATTTTGTTGCTGATTATGGCAGGGGAGCAAATGAATGGAGCAGGAGTTGCAAAAGTAGCCAGAGGGGCGGGGGTTGCATATGGTCTATGGACCTGTCCTCCCCACCCCCTGAGTGGCAGAAAAAATTTCAATCTAGGGCATATAGTCACCTAGTTCACATAGTAGGGCAACAGGACGTGACAGGCAACCTGCATGCATTGTGTGCTCTGGAATGCCATGGGCATCATTGCCAGGAAACCCCATGTGGAAAGAATAGGAATCTGAAAGCCACAGACAGATACATTTAAGGGCAATCACAGTAATTCTTTAGATGTTCCCTCCAGAGCAAGTAGGAAATATCTTAATGATACCTCTTGATCTAGAATGCATTTACAGGACTTGGCAGCACCTTTTGATCAAGCAGCAAAATAGGCCCCAGGGTTTGAAGAGGCATTTTGATAGTTTCCAAGTTATGTCTTTCCTTCCAGATTCTTGCAGTCAAATTAATCTTTATCTTAGTGATGGTTATTTTAGCACCAAATATGTCTGGCCTGTAATGTAGAGAATGTCAAGTAAAGCTCATGGTTTCAGCTTGAATATGAACAAGTGAAGGAAACAATAGTCTTGCCCAACTGAACAAAGGGCTCACATATTCTATCCTCCTTGGTCAGTCTGGACATGTTCCATAAAACATAAGGAGATGGCATTCCAAAGCCTCCTTTTATTTATTAGGTTATTCATTTTCCCTTGCATTTGCATGTGTTTTTATCTGGAAACAATCAAATATGAATTATCCTCTGTGTTTTCCCCGCTGGAATGCCAGGTCATTCTGGTTCTGAAATTGTTTGACAAAATTAAGGCTATATTAAATCTTTTATAATGATCAGGAGAATTCCTAAGCCCTGGTTTTGTTTAATCTGTACTATAAAAGAATAGTACTGCACTGCAGATGGTAATAGCAGTCACAAAATTAAAAGACGCCTGCTTCTTGGGAGGAAAGTGATGATAAACCTAGAAAGCATCTTAAAAAGCAGAGACATCACCTTGCTGACAAAGGTCCTCATAGTCAAAGCTACGGTTTTTCCAGTAGCGATGTATGGGAGTGAGAGCTGGACCATAAAGAAGGCTGACCGCCAAAGAATTGATGCTTTTGAATTGTGGTGCTGGACGAGACTCTTGAGAGTCCCCTGGACTGCAAAGAGAACAAACCTATCCATTTTGAAGGAAATCAACCCTGAGTGCTCACTGGAAGGACAGATCTTGAAGCTGAGGCTCCAGTACTTTGGCCATCTGATGAGAAGACTCCCTGGAAAAGACCCTGATGTTGGGAAAGTGTGAAGGCAAGAGGAGAAGGGGACGACAAAAGACGAGATGGTTGGACAGTGTCATTGAAGCCACCAACATGAATCTGACTCAACTCCGGGAGACAGTGGAAGACAGGAGGGCCTGGTGTGCTCTGGTCCATGGGGTCACGAAGAGTCGGACATGACTTAACAACAACAAATAAAAGAATTGTCCACAATAAGCCAAAACAATTTCAGTATGACTCAGAACCAGAGTGCAGTAGACCTGGCTTTCTGATGTTTTAGCAACTGACATAGTAGGACTATAATAAAAATAAGAATACTGGGCTAGCATGAAAGTGTATTCAGGATGCCTTGTGTTAGGCATTCCAGACAGGAAAATTGATCAGTGAGTCTAGTTTTGAAACATTTTAATTCGAAGGTTTTTCCAGCCATTCCTTAACTAGGATGCAGAGCTCAATCTGTCTTCCCCCGCCTTTCCTATGAAAGATGATGGAACCAACATTGTGAAAGGTGTTCCATAAAAGATGTATTAGGTGTTGCTGTTAGTGCCACTGCCACTGTTTGGTCTCTTTAAGAAGATGATCTGTCTATGGGCATGAGGAACTTTGAAAGAGGTTTGTGCACAACAAGAGCCATGGTGTTTCAGGGTGAGTTTTTTTTGTGGCCAGTAAAGGATATTTTCTTTGGGCTGTTTGACAGATTCAAGGACCACTGAAAGTACCCTCTTAACAGGCTAACTGCATTGCTCTTTTTTCTCAATCTGGCATAGTAGAGTTAGCATAACTCTAGCTAAAGATGCATTGGCTATAAGGAGCAACTTTGATCATAAATTTTGTCATCTCTGATTGTTTCATTTCTATTTGATTCCACCGCAAACCCTTCTTCTAGATATATCTAAAGATACAGTTAAACAGGCTTGATCACTGGATTTAAATTCTCCATATGAGCTCGTATTTGTAGAAACATGATCGTATGCTTGGTTAGGAATGTTTTTCTTTTTCTTTACCATAAATATGCATGCTGCTGTTTCTCATTTCTTCCCTTTATGACACAGAACTATCACATTGGTTTTTTAAAAAATGTTTCAAATGAATATTCAGTCTCTCTCTCCCTCCCTCCCTCCCTCTCCCTCTCCCTCTCTCTCTTCATTCCCCAAAGTTACTGTATTGTAATTGTATCTCATTAGCTCATCATTACATTACTATGTAAGCCATCAATTGCTTGATAGAAATTTATCTTGTTTTACATTTGTGGAAGGGAAGGACAACATTCAGAATATCTTCAGCTGACTATATAAAATAATGGTACCCAATTACTACCAAAGCAATACAGAAACTAGTACCAAAACAATATAAAATACTAGTACCAGTGTTTGGTAAAAATCACTACAAATATTCAGGAAGCCAATAAGTGAACTACACTGTAGTAGGAAAATAGTTTTGTTGTCCTTGCAGGCAGTGAAAATGTTAGAACAGTCATTTGGTTTTGCATTTCAACATTGTGTTATAATGCTGTATGTCTTTTTTCCCCCCTCCCAACACAGATACGCTCCCATTTTCAGTTTGGTGATCTCTGCCAGAGGACAACTGCTGCTTCATGCTGTCCCAGCTGGACACTAGGCAATTATATTGCTATTCTGAACAACAGATCTTCCTGTCAAAAAATTGTAGAGCGAGATGTTTCTCACACTCTGAAGCTGCTCCGTACGTGTGCCAAATACTATTATAATGGGACCCTGGGACCAGATTGCTGGGATATGGCAGCCAGGAGAAAGGACCAACTCAAGTGTACAAATGTGCCTCGTAAATGTACAAAGTACAATGCAGTTTACCAGATTCTCCACTACCTGGTGGACAAAGATTTTCTAAGTCCAAAGCCCGTGGACTATGACATGCCAGCTTTAAAGTACAGCATGCTCTTTTCTCCCACTGAAAAAGGGGAGAGCATGATGAATATATATTTGGATAACTTTGAAAACTGGAACTCGTCCGATGGAATCACCACCATCACTGGAATTGAGTTTGGAATCAAGCATAGCTTATTCCAAGATTATCTTCTAATGGATACTGTGTATCCAGCTATAGCCATTGTGATTGTTCTTTTAGTCATGTGCGTATACACAAAGTCCATGTTTATCACACTAATGACCATGTTTGCAATAATTAGTTCCTTGATTGTTTCCTACTTCCTTTATCGGGTAGTATTTAATTTTGAATTTTTCCCGTTTATGAACCTCACTGCACTGATTATTCTTGTTGGGATTGGAGCAGATGATGCTTTTGTCTTGTGTGATGTGTGGAACTACACAAAATTTGATAAGTCTCATGCTGCAACTTCGGAGACAGTCAGCATCACCTTGCAACATGCTGCCCTTTCTATGTTTGTTACCAGTTTTACCACCGCTGCTGCCTTCTACGCCAATTATGTCAGCAATATTACAGCAATCAGGTGTTTTGGTGTGTATGCTGGCACTGCCATATTGGTGAATTATGTTCTAATGGTTACCTGGTTACCTGCAGTTGTTGTGTTACACGAACGGTACCTACTCAATATATTCAATTGCTTCAGGAAGCCTCAGGCAAGGGGCTACAGTAACAAAAACTGCTGGACAGTGCTGTGCCAAATGTTCCATAAGGTTATTTTTGCCACCTCCGAAGCATCTAGGATATTCTTTGAAAAAGTGTTGCCATGCATAGTAATCAAGTTTCGCTATTTTTGGCTGGTCTGTTTCTTAGCCTTAACAGTTGGGGGTGCCTATATCGTGTGTGTGAATCCAAAGATGAAGCTCCCCTCCTTGGAACTCTCGGAATTTCAAGTGTTCAGGCCTTCTCATCCTTTTGAACGCTATGATGCTGAGTTCAAAAAGCTTTTTATGTTTGAACGTGTCCATCATGGGGAGGAGCTTCATATGCCTATCACCATTATTTGGGGGGTCTCTCCTGAAGATAATGGGGACCCCCTAAATCCTAAGAGTAAAGGCAAGCTGAAACTTGATGGTGCCTTCAATATTGCCAGCCCAGATTCACAGCTATGGATTTTGAAGTTTTGTCAGAAACTAAGGAATCAAACCTTTTTTTATCAAACAGAGGAGCAAGACTTCACAAGCTGCTTTATTGAGACATTTAAGCAGTGGATGGAGAATCAGGACTGCGATGAGCCGGCTCTTTATCCATGCTGCAGCCACTGGAGCTTTCCCTATAAACAGGAAGTTTTTGAGTTATGCATCAAACGAGCCATCATGGAGCTTGAAAGAAGCACAGGGTACTACTTAGATAGCAAAACTCCTGGACCTCGCTTTGACATAAATGATACCATTCGAGCAGTGGTACTGGAGTTCCAAAGCACCTACCTCTTCACCTTGGCATATGAGAAAATGCACCACTTCTACAGAGAGGTGGACTCCTGGATTTCTAATGAGCTTAGTACTGCTCCTGAGGGTCTAAGCAGTGGCTGGTTTGTCAGCAATCTAGAGTTCTATGACCTCCAGGACAGTCTCTCGGATGGGACTTTGATTGCCATGGGCCTTTCTGTTGCTGTTGCATTCAGTGTAATGCTGCTTACAACTTGGAATATAATAATAAGCCTTTATGCGATAGTCTCAATAGCAGGAACCATTTTTGTCACTGTTGGTTCTCTGGTTCTTCTAGGTTGGGAGCTAAACGTGTTGGAGTCTGTCACCATTTCTGTTGCAGTTGGCCTTTCAGTTGACTTTGCTGTCCATTACGGAGTTGCTTACCGCTTGGCTCCTGATCCTGACCGAGAAGGAAGAGTCATCTTCTCCCTAAGCCGCATGGGCTCAGCCATTGCTATGGCTGCCCTGACCACATTTGTAGCTGGAGCAATGATGATGCCTTCCACGGTTTTAGCATACACACAGCTTGGTACCTTCATGATGCTTATAATGTGCATTAGTTGGGCATTTGCAACCTTCTTTTTCCAGTGTATGTGCCGTTGTCTTGGACCTCAAGGTACTTTTGGTCAGATTCCTCTGCCAAAAGGATTCCAGTGTAGCGCCTTTTCCCAGGCATTGTCTGGAAACAAAAGAAATGGGGAACAAAACAAAACACATCTTGTCAATAAGTATCAGTTGGACCTTAGAGGTTCAAAACCAGATACAGAACATGAGCACGAGCACTATGAGTTAGAACCTTTAGCTTGCCATACCAATAATGGCATTGTCTCTGAAAAGAGAACCTTGGAAGAGACCCATACCTGCTCTGAGCTTTTCAATGGTAGGCTTGCAAACGCACAGAGTGAGCTTAGTTCAGCTGCAACATCTTCCGGTGAGCAGGGTGCCTCTTGCCAGGGGTTGTGCCAAAATCAGCAGATCCTTTGCTCAGATGCACACAAGCCTGTGGGCATGAAATGGAGTCCTCACTCATGTCAGCCATTAACTGAAAATGTCTGCCATTGCTGCTCTCCTTCCTCTGGAAACATGCACATCCAAGGTTCTCTCGTCCCCATAAATATCCTGCATCATCCTTCTGATGGTTATGTGAATACTCTCCAGCATGTTCTCCATTGTAACTGCCTACAAGGCAGGTTAAAAAGACTCCCAATTCAGAATTCCCTCCCCAGAAATGTTTTTTTCCACTCAGTTCAACATTTTCAACCCCACAGTCTTCCGAACACAGAAGACAATTTGAGAACCCTTCCCAAGGAGGCCAATTCTTCCCCGTTTCTCTGCAAAAGTGCTGGCTCGCTCATGCAACCTTGTTGTGAAATGGAGAAGAGCATGACTAATAATCAAAAGGGCTGCTGTAATCACTACAGAGATAAATGGGATGTAAACATCTCGGAAGTAAATGGAAATGAAAGTGGGGTTTCTGCACCAAGGCAAAGCAAGGAGGCTAAAGAAGAGGGTACCCAGGACTTACCACAAACTGCCCCAGGTCTGAAAGTTAACCAGAATGAATGGAAAGGTATAGAAAGTAATTCAGCAATAGAAGCTGATCATGGATCTTGCCCTGAAAATTCACAGTATTGTAACCGAACTGTAACAACCAAGTGCAATTCTGTTGAATGTCATATGCCAAACACTGAAGCCCATGTGCCTACTCTTTTAGCACATTCAGAACTTTCCAATGAAAGTTTGCTAATAAAAACACTATAATTAATCTTATGCTTGGTGGTTCTGTCTTCCTTTTTTTTAAAAAAAGCCTTCTCAAATACTCAAACAGAAGAACCTAGAGAAAAGTGAATATTTTGTACGTTCTATTAACATCTCTGAAGCTGATTATGCATTGCTCTCAGGAATGTCCAATGTTGCTTAATTTCAGATCTTGTGTGGATGCCAAAAGCATTTAAATTGTTATTTCTTCACCAAGGTAAAAAAATAAAACATTTTAAGCAGCTTTTCTCTGGGACTTCAGGAAGAAAACAGTAGTATTTGAGGTAACGAATATACATTCTCACTGAAATATTACCACCCTAACATTGTCTGTCTTAATTATTTAGGATCAGATAGAAACTTCTAAAGGATCAGGAAGTGTAACAAAAAGTGGACTAAACATTTTTTCTGACGTTACCATCAAAATAGTTTTTGGCACCATACGAAGCAATTTATCCAGTCTGCTTTCTGTTTTCCAGATTGTTTTACTTTTTTTATTCCTATATAAAAATATTACTTTCAATATGGCATCCAAATACAATAACTGTTACTTTGATGTCAGTGTTGTACAAAGTTAAGGAAAGGACCCATAATCAGAAACACGAATTTTATAAAAAGTATATGTCACTTCATTAATTCATAACTCTTAAAATGACAGTATGCCTGCAGTGCCCATTAATTCAGTGCCCATTCTCATATATTATGTTTTGGATATTAAATGTTCATTTTGTTTATTTCTTCACTTTTTGCTTTTCTATCACTATCTTTGGAGGAGTTTGTTTTCTTCCATCCTTTTTGACATAAATGAATGACAGAAGTGCCCACTTGAATAGTAATTAAAGCAATATTGTTACAAAACTATAGTATACTGTATGCTGAAACAAATCTAGTGTGTCTCAAAACGCCCCAAAATCCTATCTACACAAATGTTATCCCTATTGTTGTACACATAGACAATACATCCCCCAGGCAACACAGCATATGTTTCCTTATATTGCAGCTAGATAGTTCAGTGGGTTAGATATCTGGTTGCGGGGCCGGAAGTTGAGTGTTTGATTCCCGACTGCCTCCTTGACAAAGACTGGATTCAGGGATGCATAAGGCCCTTTCCTGCTCTGCAATTCTAAGATGATGATGAAAAGCCTTCGAGAATATATTGATGATGAAAACTTGAAATCAGCTATCTGATCTTTTCAATGTAATTGCCTCTTTTAGTTTCTATGCAGTGTAAATGCTAGTGTGTACTAACCTCGTGGTGTACTAAACGTCCCATTATGGGAATGTCTTCAGCCTGCAAAACTAAGCCTGCAGCCTTTCTTCATTCCATCTAAGATGTCAGGAGCAGGTCTGAAGAATAAAAGAAGGGTCTGTCCTGCATTTGCTGACTGGTTAAGGACACACTATCAACCCTTAAAATATTTTTTACTTCTCTTTTATAATGTGCACATACAAAGTCCCACAGATGCAAATAATACAATTCCCCCCATTAATCTGGTCCTTTTCAGCTGCAGAAATATGTTTGCCATATATCGAAAAACACTGTTGTTGTTTTTAAAGTGCAGTCCCACAGGCAAAACAGGAGCACCTTTGAAGAGTAAAGGGAGAGCAATTTAGCTTTCCTGCTTCAGTTTCTTACCCCCTGAAGAATTCCTCTATCCCTTCTCTATCTCTGTTTTGGTGAATGACATGGAGCGTAAATTCAGGGTCACTTTCCTCAATCTCACAACACTTTGACGAATATAGTTCTAGTCTTCCCTAGTAATCTTGTTATTTCATTAATAGTGATAATATGTCCATGTCATCAAATCCATTTTGAGTTATGGGAACCTTCAGAACTCAGTACTTAGAAGTAGTTTAACATTCCCTTATTCTGGGGGCATCTGCAGCTTGCGCAAGACCACATGTGCTGGCTCTTCTCTCAGGAGGCATGGTGGGGAATTGGCCTCTAGTTCCGCAGCTGGATACCTAAACCACTGAGCAATCTAGATCAGTGGTTCTTAGCCTTTGTTACTTGGATGTTTTTGAACTGCAACTCCCAGAAACCCCAGCCAGCACAGTTGGTGGTGAAGGCTTCTGGGAACTGCAGTCCAAAACTCCTGAGTAACCCAAGGTTAAGAATCAGTGAGCTAGATGGTTTGTGAATAAATACTAGTCGTACTACTTTTTGTACTATAGTTTTTCCAGTGACCATGCTGTCCGGGGGTTGTAGTGCAAAAAAAAAAGTTTTTCAAGCTGTCCAAAACAAAAGCAAACTAATAGTTGATATGTATCTAGCTAGTTAACTGCTCATTCAATTTGTTTGGAATGGTATAGACCCCTCCAGGACTTCAGCTATGCTTGATAAATAATAATACAGATATGGCTGGCTGTACAGCTTATTGAATTGGGCATCTGGCTCCAGAACCAGAGGTCACAATGGGAAATCAACTAGAGTTTGATTTCCCATTCTGCTTCCTGGGAGTAGAGCCAGCCTTGTAACCTTGAGCAAAATGCAGAGGAATGAGTAGACCACCTCTGAGTACTCTATACCCAGAAAGCCTGAAGATGGCTTATTATTAGAGATGGGAGCTTCATATTCAACTCCTGGAGGTGGCCAGTCTGATTAGATCCTCCCGAATTGGGTGTCCGCTTACTGCTTGTGGCACACAAGGCTGTCATCCTTCACAGCACGGCAGTCGTAGAAGCAGCCTGGCTGTGGCTTTCTCTGCCTCCCTCACTGCCTCTGCCTCTCTATGCAGCAGAGGAAGAGTTTAATTTGCCAATAACTTTAAGCTGCTTCACGATACTGGTAAATTAACAACGGGCTGGTGTAGACCAGAGTTAATTGAGATCCGTATGCCATTTGCATGCAAGGATTGCGTTACAGTAATGGCATACCGGACTTCCTAGCACCCATATTTTGTCCACACAACTCACTCCAGTAATGCCATGCAGCCAAGACCATAAACTTGACAAAAGCCAAATATTTGTTATTAAAGACTGACCCAGCAGCTTGCGTTTTTAGACTCTCGTCATGGGGTGGGGGGGGGTTTGTTACTATAGGCACCACCTGCAATTCCAGGTTTACCACCGGACCACTGCATTTTCCATGAACCCTAGGATCCTTGCTGATGTGCTTTATGTTAAGCAGTGGGGAAGGGAAGCCAGCCTTGTGGCATCAAGGTTCAGCTTACAAACACCCCTCCCAGTTTGGTTGACATGCAGGGAGTATCTAGCACAAATACTTATCACACAGTAAATATGATGTCTCTTGTGGCTTTTTTTAAAGTACAGTTCACTACTTCCACAATTACAGTACCACATGTTGACGTGTGCCGCAAAAAGCAAAGATCCTTGAGACACCCCTCCCAAAAAAAACCCATTATCAAAAAATACTTGGATAACAAGTAATCCTTGACACATGCAAAGCTCTGCAGTGTAGATTATGCCCAAGTGTTTTCATTAAGCAATCATCTTGATTTCCTTTGCTTCCTGGCAATTAATTACACCTAAAACTTGATGTGTGAGACCATGCCAAAAATTATTGAGAAACTATTGGGTTGCTTTCAAGATTAGAGGACATAACCTACACCCTTGTCTGGAGAGGTCGGGGCACCATCCCAGGCCTGATTTGTTTCCATATACAGTACAATTTTATCTACTCACTATATAGTTTTTACATCCTTTGGAGAGCAAAGGCTATAGCAGAACTCAACTCCAGCCCTGCTTCACCATTACCACGGATGAAGTTCAGAAACTATTTCCTCCCCCCCCCCTTAGTTCTTTACAGGAGGAGATGGGGATTTGGATTGTTATCCCATTGGACCAAGTCCCTGCCAGGATTGGGTAAGCATTCTTTCTTTTTCCACAAAAAGTCATAAAGTTTTACACCATCCTTTGCCACACCCAGTGTTCTCTGAATGCCTCTCCCTGTGTAGCCAAAACAGCATCATCAACACATGCAGGAAGCTTATCAGCAAGCACAGGCAAATCCCAGGGTTTTCAGAAGAATCTTTAAAAGCGCACCATCCAAAACCATCCAGTGGTACCTGAATATGCTCAGTGGCTATAGAATTCAGAGAGTCTGTTGTGGAACAAAGCAAAAATCAGGCAAGGCAGTGGGATGGATTTGCATCTCCTGGGAGAGGGAATGATTGGCTGGCTAGAACCCTATTCCATGCTGCAGTATTTGTGGCATGTCCTGCTTGTCTGTTGCCTATTACTTCTGGGACCATTTTTCTCAATAGGATTCTGTCTGAAATGACTCAGACAGAATTTTTTTTCAAAGACTGCACTTTTTTTCTACCAATAAAAGAAAATGCATCACACCCATGCACTGCATTCCTCAGCTAGCAAATTAAGTAGCCAAAGGCCGTATGATTTTTTGTTTGTTTAAGGCTTTGCCTCCAAAAAGAAAGACAACTGGGAGGAGACAGTCTAGCCATCCTCCACTACAAGGACAAAAGGGCTGTGGAGGCTGAACGTCTCCCTTTTCTGGAATTCATTATCAAACTGGCATGAGAGATGGGTGAGACAGGATGGAGAAAGAAGGAAGGATTTCAATTTATTCTATACCCCATGGGTAAAGCCTGATACCCTCACACTTCAATCAGATTCTTTGAGTCCCACTCTCTAAAGTATATCTAACTTTGGCTCGTACGATTTGTTCCACCAGTCAGGCCATGCGTTCTGATGGAAATGTAATGAAGAACTTAAAATCTCAGCTGCCTTGTGATAATCCAGTAAACGTATTGCCCACTGCTAACATTTAAACAAGGTTGATGACAGAGTGATGGACTAGGACTCAGTAGACATGGGTTCAAGTCCTTGCTTGGACATGAAGAGTCATGGGGAGGGGTGATGGAACTGGTAAAACCATTTCTTAAATTATCTTACTTTCCTTGAAACTCTTGTTAGGGCCACTGTAAGGCAAATCTGACTTGACAACACATAATGTTTAAACCTCACTGATTTTATTCTGGAGAAAAGGTCTAGAACAGATTCCTGATCTAGAGCAAGCCTTCCATTCTACACCCTGAGCATGGGGTTGGACTCAATGGCCCTATAGGCCCCTTCCAACTTCATAATTCTCTGTTTTCTCTGTGAATTGTCTTTTTAAAATGAGAAATTGAAGAAGATGCTGCTGCAACGAGGTTTCAAGCAAGATCATGCTTGTATCCAGAAGCAGAAATCGACATTCAACTTTTATTTTTGCCTATGTCGATGACCTCATTGTGGCTACTCAAAGGGAACAGGAATACATCTGGGGACCCAAGGTTGGGAACTATTGTTTCATATAAAAGCAAAAGCTCTTTCCAATAATTCACCAAGACTGCCTACAGTCATAAGATAAGAAAAAAGTTGATTGAAACAAAATAGTTTAGATTTAGATTTAATCATGCTTAGACTTGTTGAAATTAAAAGGGACTGAAATTAGTCATAACCAAATTAAGTCATGGATTTCTATAGCTGTGTTCTAAATATGACCGAGTCTGAATCCAACCTCATAAAACTTGTCTAGATAAAATCAATTCAAGAGTTAAAGCAACAAAAAAGTAAAGGAGCAGCCAAAGTGTACATATATGTCAAGCATATGTTTCCATTTGAGTTCCTATATCCATTCCTAGAAACTCAATTGGCATAAGTAGGTGCTCCGATTCCAGCCTGGTGTGTAGTCCATGCAAAGCAAAGTAAAGCAAAGCGTG